GTGCAGCAGTGCTGCGTGCAAGTGGTGACTGCAGCGGTGGTGTGCAGCAAAAGGCGGCGGCAGCAGCAACAACAACAGCAGCAGCAGCAGCAGCCTCCACTGGGATCTTTTTTTTTTTTTTTTTTTTTTTNCCCCTGGGTTTTTTTTTTTTTTTTTTTTTTTTTGAGGGGCTTTTGGCGGCGTATGGTAGGCTCGCAAGTTCTCTGGGCCGTTGTTTGACCTCTCGACCGAGGGCAGGTTCTCGGGTGATGCTAGTGGCACCTAAGGATCAGGCACAACACACAATGGTGGGAGGAGGAGGGGCAGGCAGGCCCTGAAATGAAATTAGATCGCTGGATAGAGGACCCTGGCTGAGTGCCACAGCCTACAGGGCCACAAGACCGCCCGCCGCTGATAGAACGAGGCTTGCAAGTTAAGGTGCGGGTGATCTCTCGAGACCTCGACCTTGACCTTGGGCAGGTAACCAAGTCAGGCACCGTACCGCTCTGTACCGCACCGCACCGCACCGCACCACTCCGTACTTTGTACCGCACGCTCGCTGCAATCTCGACCAGTCGATGGAGTCCGATGTGCAGCTGGGCGGAGAAGCAGGTAAGGAGGGTACTCGTGAGTAGTGGGGGAGCTAAAGAATTTGGGGCTGAAAGGTGCAGACTAAGATCTCAGGCGACGATGTTAGTATGGGCGTAGAAGACGGTGGGAGCGTCGCGGCGCCCAGACGACTCACAAGCGGCGGACGGGTGGTGTTGATGGCAATGACGACTCGGCAGAGAATCCAGGATCCAGAATCCAGAACAGGGCCGGCCGCGCAAGTCTCAACATGAGTTACTTCCATGCATCCGGGATAAGAAGGTGTGTGTAATGCAGATGCAATGCCAATGCCCCGGCAAGGAAAACCTCAGACGAAAGAGACGATGGAGCAGTTCCGGCGTCAGTGCCAGCCTCGGCGGTCACACTGGACGAGCAGAGAGGGAGTCAGTAGCTGCTTATCAACCACTCAAAGAGACGACGGGAATGCAGACTCCTTCATCTCGCGTGGGCATGCTGTCATCGACAAGGTTAAAGAAGGTTAACATCCATCACCACTTGGGCACCATGCGATGCGTTGAGGGCACATCGGGTATCTGGATCTGTATCTGTACTTTGGCCATCCATCTCGTTGAGTTGGACTTGAACTTGTTCAGCTCCTCGGCTCCCAGAGATGAGGTACATAGCATTCCTCCGACTTTACTATGTATACACGAGACGAGACGAGGTGAGGTGAAGTCCATTTGCTATTGATCATGGATGGCTTGAGACAAGCTGTCTCTGATGCGCGGTGCTTGGTATGGGCAAGCGTGGACATCCCATCTGTCGAGTGCACCTTATTTGAGCCCCTGTACCCGCTAGTTCCGGTCGGCGCTGGGTGTTGGGCTGAACTTGAATCTGAACGAGTCTTTCGCGTCTCTTGTTCAAGTCTTCCAGGCTGCTTTGCTCCGGCCGTTGCATCTGGAAGGGAGCAGAGGGATGCAAATCGGGAGCAGCAAGAATTGCGATTAATGAGATGGAAGGCGGTGCGGTCCAGTCCAGGCTCAGGACTCAGGTTGTCTTCATTCATTTCATCATCCACCATCAAATGTTCAGCCATTGAGAGCAGGGCACCCTGTTGGTCCGGCCTGCCCCCCTTCCTTCCCCGTAAGGCACCACGGTACCACACCCAGCACCACAATGGTGCACCACACCACCACCGCCGTCTCCTCCTCCTTCTCAAGTGGTGCATTGTGGTCCTGTCGCTGCCGCTCATCATCTCTGGGCCCTTACCTCATTCTGACCCACCCAGCGGCCCTGCCGCCAGGAGAAGCATTGTTAGCTATCCAATTGGCAGTGGGGGTGGACCCTGTCTCGTTTCGGACCTTCGTTGACTCGTCCCTCGCTTCCCACCAAGATCCAGCAGCGTTGCGATCCCGAGATGCAAAGCAACAAAACCGCCGTCTTCCTCACCATCCGAGTACACATCACCTTGCAGCTGTGCATGATACCTTGGGCTTGGAGGGTGTACTAAGTACACACGATCATGGTTTTGTCTCGTCGCCTGCAGCTCAGCCCAAGGAAAAGCGCGATTCCTCACGTCGCCCCTCGACGTTTTCGCTTTCGGTGCTCGGTCCAACACTAACACGACCTCAAGGTCCAGTCCATCGTTCCATTGACCGCTTCATCTTCCACGGCCGCTGTACATAATACTCGCCTCCGGTCTATTCCCCGCGGCCTGTGTTCATATCAGGAACATCCGACATACCCAGGTACGGACTTATCACGGCGTCAAATTCTACCGCATTTTTGTAGCACCCTCATTGAGCTCATGTCTCGCAGCATCCTCAGCTGGGAAAGCAACAAGGCATAGCATGATGACCACTAACACGACGAGACGCGTCTCGAATGTGAACCTGCCGCCTGGTTACTTTGACTTCCGGCGCCCGCCCGTCTGCCCCACTCCCCGGCAAGCCACAGGACGCGGCAACATGCTCATGTCAACGACCTTGGAGGAATTCAATTGTCCCAGAAAGAAATAGCAAGACTCGAAGCGACATCCGAGAAAGAAACCATGAGTCTGGGGCACCGCTGTGCCGCCTCAATGGCCCGGAAGTGATGTGGGAAAACCCCCAATTCAGCACCGCCAACGGTCCGGGCAGGACGCCACTTCGGCCGCCCTGAGGAGCCTTCTTACTCAGAACAATCTGCCTCTGACACCCAATCTAAAGCGACTCGCCAGCTCCCAGCACACCGGGATTTGCCAACAATAGGACGACAATTCTCCTGTGTGAGGGGAGTCGCTTCGCCGTGCATGAGTTGGCCGCTGCCAGCACATCCTCGTCGCTACTCCCATCCACCATTCACAGGCGGCTTTCTTCACATCCACAGAGCCGAGCCCCCCGATGGAACAAGTCATTGGCTGTGTTCTGTGCGCTTGATCGGCGTGTGCTGGCACCCACCACAAAGTGCTGTCAGGCTTGACGGGCAGCAGCTCTCTGGTTACTTGCATTTCGCCTCATCGTGCGCATCACTGGCCCTCCAGGCCCCAGCAGATGTCGCGCCGATAAAATCTCGCTACCGCTCTTTTCTCTGTCCGGGGACTTCTCCTCGGCGGATGTACAACCGCGTGCCGCTGAGGGTGACAGATCACCATGATGCCACTGACAGGATACGACACGGAAGCGAGCTGGCAGATGCCACGGAATGGCACTCCAAGGTGCCATGGGCTCCCTCAAACCATTCATCGGCGAATGCGACGGCGCTCGAGCCTCCCGTTATTGTTCTGTGCCTCCTCTCGCACATTCAAATCGGTCGTGCCAGGGCCGCATGAACGCACCTCCAAGGGGGGCTTGGGGGCTCAAGGACCTGCTTGCCTCTGCGCGTCTGATCCCGGCGTCTTGACTGGCCAGATCAGATGCGAAACTTCTTCCTGGTTTGTCTGGATTACCCAAAAAAAAAAAAAAAAAAAAAAAAAAAAAAAAAAAAAAAAAAAAAAAAANACAAAAAAAAAAAAAAAAAAAAAAAAAAAAAAAAAAAAAAAAAAAGACTGCACTACCGATCGATCAACGTCAGAAATGTCTGTCCATACTCCACCGAATGACCAACTCAATTATCGGACGATGTCTTCTATGGGTCTTGGCTCTAATTGGGGAGACGAGCTGCCGGTGTCTTACACAGAAACGTCGCCAATACTCCAGCTTTCCCTCCAAGGCTGCGGCGAACATGAACCCTTCGACCGCTACGCCAGCGGCTGCCACTGCACCACCCGAATTTCAGCATGCCAATTACCGCTGCATGTCTCTTTTTTGACTTACCGGCATAAAGTCCCGGTGGCATGGCGCTGCGACCAACCCAATGGCTTCCCCGAACGTGACAAGACCCTTAAATTCCCTGTTTAAATGACATAAGCAAGTTGTCCGTCATTTAGACTCGTCAGGGTCGTGGGATGGCATGTGACCCGCGGAACGCGCTTCAACTTCTGCAACGCACAATATAAGGTAATTGGAATATCAGCCCCGACTGGCTTGCAAGAACAATTTCGACGGAATGTAGGGCGAAAAGGTACGCTTGCTGAGGGGAGCAAGGAAAATCGCACATTGACCAATCGCTCGATAAACGATTAAGATGAATACGCGAGACACTTTCACCTGCCTGAGCACCAGCATTGCGTAATCCGTTGCACTAGGTTTCCGTCCTTGCGTCCGGCCCGGGCGGCACCGGAATCGGGACCGCGATGTGGATCCCGGGATCCCGGACCCGCGTCCGGTTTTGTCGACTCCGAAGCTCGCCATGAGAGAGTGTTCAAACGGACAAGAAAGATCTCACACTGCAAGTGAGAGACAGACTGTTCTTCGAAATACCTAGCAGTCGTCACTACAAAGCCTGCTCCATGCGAGCCAGTGATACACGAGCCCAAGTGAACGTCGCGACGGATATGCCCAGTTCCGAGCACTGCCTCATGAGTGTAAGAGGCTAGCATAGTACGGATGCTGTAGCACTGCCCTTGGATATCTCGGGTAGCGAGCGTCATAAAAGCTGTGCCAGGACAGCAGCGACACCAATGAAGAACATGGCTCTTGGGACTGGGCCTAGATATGGTTTCTGGCGTCTGCACATAGAAGCGCTCAGTGTGGTGGATCAGTCGTCGGCGCGGACCCAGTACCACGACAATAGAACGTCTCCAAGATCCGCTAAGGAGGCATGCTTATTGGTAACCATACATATGCATACAAGGTCTATAATCAATGAATTTTGCAAATCACGGTACTCTTTCAATTTTCTCCTGAGCCATCCGAACACCACCATCTCGTACCTTAGCCAATCCCCGACATGCGTCTATACGTGATTCTTCATATGCCAACAGCAGGCTTTATCATCTAGTAAAACAAGTCATGATCCGGGCCATTCCTAGAAGATGGCCCGGACGTAGCAAGCGTGTCGTCGGGGACAACCATATGCAGTTCGCCCCAACAACCGTCTTCTTCACCATAGTATTACTCCTTCTTGGGCGAGACCTTCGTCTCGGCCTCTTCCTCCGCCGCAGCCGCCATAGCCGCCATGGCGTCCTCGTCGACTTCGTCATCGTCGTCCTCCTCCTTCTTCTCCACCGGGGCCGGGGCCGGGGCCTCAACCTTCTTGGCCCCGCTCAGGTCCCAGTCAATCTCAGCGCCAGCGCCGTACCGCTCGACAAGCCAGTCGTTGGCCTTGCGGAAGTGTCCGCAGTCGAAGAAGCCCCTCGACGCACTCAGCGGGCTGGGGTGCACGCTCTTGAGGATGAGATGCTTCTTGGCGTCAATCTTGACGACGCGCTTGCCGGCGGGCGTGCCCCACGCCATGTAGACGACGCCGCGAGAGCGTTTCTGCGCGACGAGGTCAATGACCTTTTGCGTGAAGCGCTCCCAGCCGCGGTTCGAGTGCGAGTTGGCCTCGTGCGCGCGGACCGTCAGGCAGGTGTTGAGCATGAGCACGCCGCGGTCCGCCCACGGGGTCAGCAGGCCGCCGTTCTTGGGAGGCGGGCTGAAGCTCGGGTAGTCCTTCCTGAGGGCGATGTACATGTTCTTGAGCGAAGGGGGGGCCGGGGTCGGGGGGCGGACGGAGAAGGCCAGGCCGTGGGCTTGGTTGTGGTTGTGGTAGGGGTCTTGGCCGACGATGACGACTTTGACGTTGTTGAAGGGGGTATGGCGGGACCTGAAGCTGTGTTAGCATACACGTATTGAGTGCGCTGGGGTAGTGGGATTGGGAAACGGACCAAGAGTACACATCCTCCTTTGGAGGAAACCACTTCCTTCCTGCACTAGTTTCCCTGTTCAAGAACCTCTTGAGGTCGAGGAACTCCTTGCTCGTGACCTCATCCTTGAGGTGTGCCAGCCAGCTCTCGTGCAAGGTGTCGATCTCGAGCTGGAGCAGCTCCTTCTGCTCGGCCGTCAGTCCGGCGACCCACTTCTCCTTGTCGAACTTGGGAGCCGGCGCATCGGTGACGGCGGTTGCAGCCACAGCGCCGTTGCCGCTCCCTGCGGCGGCGGAGCCCTTAGCAACCGGTTTCGGGGCGCCGAAGAAGGACATGATACTGCCGTCCTGCTTGGGTTTCTTGCTGTCCGCGGACGACAGCGTGCCGGCCTTGCGCTTGAGGGTCGACATGTTGGTCTTTGTGGGGAAGGAGGACGGCTTTTTGGAGAAGGTGGTGATGTGGAGTGCCCCTTGATCTGGGCGAGGGCGGACCAGAATTGGCAGCTGGAAGGGCAGGCAGAGGCGTAGGCGGATAATCGTGGTGAGATGTGTGGGTGGTCGTGAAGGCGTCAACTGGTCGTCAATGGGTTCGTAAATCAAAGTTGGAGCATGGATGGAAGATCACAAGAGAAGAAATGGATAATGGCGAGGTCGATTGGAAGGGGAAGAACGGCTAGAGAAGAAGAGGTGAGGTTGGCGTGCCGGACGTCGTAGTAGAATTCTTTGCCTGGCCAAAGCTGAAAGTGCCGGTCTGCGGACCGTCCAGTGTCGCGTGGGGCGACGCGCTACCGGTAAGAGCAAAGAAGAAAAAAAAGGAAGTCATTTACGCGAAAACCCCCGGTGGCCCGCTCTTTCAGGCGCGTCCTGCCACGAGTTTTAGTGGTTGTTACGGGCGCGGGGGAGCTGCGTGGGAGCTGCAGCCCTGCAGCGCCCCCAGCTTAGGTTGGCTCGGCGGCACCCGCATGTTTCCCCCTGAGATGGGCGTCGTTTGGGACGAAGTGGTGACTTCATAGGCGTCCGACACGGACTCGGGAGGTTGTCATTGGACGGTGCATCCTGTCATCTTGGTGTTCGTCAAGCGAATTCTCGTCCAACTTGGCATCAAAAGCTTAAACACATCAAAAGACAAAAAAGCCGTGTTGTGGGGGAGGTATCATTACATCTTTCGCTACATAGTACAAGTTTTTGGTTTTCCCATGTCTAATAAACCCAAACCACGACATCTGTGTGTCGTTTGGCGTGCAACTCCAGGCCCGGATTCTTTTCCTTCCGGTTCATTAATAGCAGCCCGCCGTTTTAACGCCCAACAATGCATTGAAAGGGAAAGAGTGGTGATGCTGTGTCTTCAATCCGTGTCCCGCCTCGACTTCTCATTAACGCTCCTGAACACTCGCTTGCCGACTTCGTAGCTGCTGATCATGATGGCGCAGGCTGGGGCAACCTTCAGAGTGCGGGGAATCCACCCCTTCCAGAGGCCCTGGATACCTTCGGTCGAAAATATGTGCCAGAGCAGGCGAATCATTGTGCCTTGCTCAGCTGCGGCCATCTTGGCGGCGTTGGGAGAGTCGCGGTAGACTTGAGTCCTCGTCTTGCCCACGTCGAAGGGCATTGTCACTATCGATGCGAACCCGCCAGAGACAGCACCGGCAATAAAGCTGTCCGTCAGAGTTTCCGTATGGTTCTCCTGGCTTTGCGATCTGCGGCGCGACTGTGTCCGAGAACCCCTGACGTCCAGTGTTCGGCCACGGCGGGTCTCGCGCAGGTCCGTCAGCTTTCCCCGGATCGTCTCGTACCCCCACCAGTAGATACCCGAGAAGGGCACATCCCTCCACAACGTCAAGGTCAGGCCCCTCCACAACGCGCTGTAGCCGCTGGCGTTGACCATATCCTTGATGCCTCGGAACGTGTTGGCAAGGTGGCCTGTTGCAGAGTTTCCGGTGCTGGCTTGCATTCTGGTGCGGAAAAGCTCGATCGGACTGACGGCGGCAGCGGCAAGGATGCGGGCTCCGGAGCCGGCGACAAGGGGGGCGGTGTCGTCGTTGAGCCTCTGCGCAATCGGGCTCTTCTTGTTGTATCGCAAGTAGTCGTAGCCGGTGAAGTAGATGATGTTTCCCGGAATCGTCATGAGTAACGTCGGAGACAGACCCCGCCACAGGCTGGTGAACCCCTCGTTGCGCGCAATCTTCCTAAGTCCGTCCATGGTCGAGCTGATTGTCTTTCGTTCCACCTCCTCGACGGCACAATCGGCCGCCACTGCAGTCGCGGCGCCCTCTGCTTTGGGCATGGCTATGCACAGCTCAGAGTTGCCATTCATGAAGAAGACCTCCCTGCAGCAGGCAGTAACTCCGAGTGTCTCTCGATTAAAGGTCTTCAGGGTGTTGGTCGTCATCGCAAGCTTGGAAAAGTCTACCGAAGGCGGGGTGACGGTTTGGGACTGCCATCGAACTCGTACGACATCGAGCGGCGTAACTGTGGTGAGCCGCGTTAGCGGAAGGCGACTGAATCGATATGCAAAAGCTGTACTTACCGAGAAGCGACGTCAACAGACTGCCCGACATGGCCGAGATCATCTTTTGGGACGCGCTGATGTCCTCGTCACCGCCTCCTGGGCCATTGTCCTTGACTGGAATCATGCGCGCCATGGCGAAGGAGTCATCCGGGTCGAATCTGTCGTGGTCCTGGCCGCCGGTAGCTTGGTGTATGGTAGTCATCGCGGACCAAGTTGCATGGTCGGAGAGATCGGAGCTGGAGAAAGAGGAAGTTCCCATCCGGTCGCAAGTGCTGTTTAATGTCGTACAAGACCAAAGGGTTGCGAGTCGTGTCGTAAAAGAAAAGACGGATGAGGGGAAGACAAGCTTTCGTGAGCTTTTTCGCTCGAGCAGGGGGAGATGGGCGAGCAGGACCTTACCCCGTTTGCCAGAGTCCGGCCGTCATCGTCCTTCTTCCCCAAAAATTTTGGGCCGGAGATAATGAGATGGGTGGCGTTGGGGCACGTACCTTGCCTGGCCGAGCCGAGCTCAGGACGTCACTAACCGAAAATGGGGTATGATTGGCTAGACGTCGGGTGGTGCCTCCGATGTTCCACACCTGCACTAAATGTCACCGATAAGCACCAGCCCGGTGGAGCTGACGCCGGATGACTCCAGTTGTCGGCGTGCGTGCTTACAACGCAGAGTCGATGATGAGTGGTCGGCCTCAACTACATCTCATTTCTTAAATAGGTACATCTTCAACCACCTGGGCCAACCAAGCTCTCAACTCCATTGCGCAAGTTTGTCTTTATTTTTCAGTCGACCCTCATGACATTATTATAGAATTTGCATTTGCTCCAGAGCTCAGGTTTTCCTGAGCAACCCACAAGTACCATACCATGGAAGACAACCCGCCAAAGCTCGACTCCGAGCTGGAGTCTTTCCGCCAACAATGGAAGACAGAGCTTCAGTCCAAGAAGTCGGTTCCAGAGCCGCGCGTATCTCATTCAAAGAAAGCCGTGCCCTCATCGTCCACGGCGATTGCGGCCCCTGAAAGTTCCAGAACTACAACAGCGAAGAAGTCCCAGATTGAAGAGGATGAAGAATATGCTCGTGCGTTGACATTCGATGAGCCGGCACCTCCGTCGTCTTCAGGAAGGAGTTTGGACCAGCCGGAGCCACCAAAGGCCAAGGAGCTGGTCTCGGCCTTGGATCACTTTGAAGAGGCGGTGGAGAAGGAGGCGATTGGTAATTTGGGCGATAGCTTGAAGCTCTACCGAAAGGCTTTCCGGGTGAGTAACAGCCTGGTTCTCGTACGCGAGTGACTATATCTAACATCTCTATCAAGATGGACAACCGTGTGGATTTGGCCTACAGGAAAAAGCATTTCCCTGCAGCTGTGGGGAAGCCTGTGCAGACCGCAACGTCAGCCACGCCAGTCGCCACCTCAAGTGCGGCCGATAAGTCAGCAGAGACGCAGCAGCAGACTATGAGTGAGCTCATCGCGAGCTTCTCAGGTCTGTCAGTGGCAGCAGCTCCTCCTCCAGTGGAGGGAGACCCGGCGCCTCCTTGCCCCATCGCCGAACTACCCGAGGAAATTCTAGTCCACATTTTCAAGGACCTGGCTGTTCTTGATGTTGGCGATTACGTGCGTCTGTCTCTCGTTTGCAAGCGATTCGCCTACATTGTCGCCACGGAGCAGTCCATCTGGCGTCGCATCGCAATGGGCACCGAGTTCGGTTTTGCTGGAATGCATTACCACTGGCAGAAGGGCATCTCGTGGGAGCCCTTGGGCACGGCCGAAGAAATTGAAGACACAGACTTTGTCAGCATGGAAGAGCTCAACCAACATCGTGAGGAAGAGAAGGAAGCAACAACTCTTGTCCTCTTACCGGAGCTGTATTCCTCGTCGTGGCTGAAGCTTTGGCGGCATCGACCTCGCATTCGCTTCAACGGGTGCTACATCTCCACGGTTAACTACATCCGCGCTGGTGGAGCCAACGCGAACCAGATCACCTGGAACAGCCCTGTTCATATTGTCACATATTACCGCTACCTACGCTTCTTCCGCGACGGTACGGTTATCAGCCTACTCACCACCGCCGAGCCGGGCGACGTCGTGCACTACATGACTAAAAGCCACCTGGAGCAGCACGTCGGTGGTAACGCAGCTCATCTCCCTTCTATCCTTATGCAGGACGCCCTGAAGGGACGCTGGCGGTTGTCGTCAGCTTTAGACCACCCCGATGCACCTCTGGGTGAGACAGAAGGCGACCTCTTCGTCGAGACGGAAGGAGTCGCGCCCAAGTACATGTACAGGATGGACATGTCAATGCGCAACGCTGGTAAGGGGGCGCGGAACACGAAGCTCGTTTGGAAGGGCTTCTATAGCTATAACAAGCTAACGGATGACTGGGGCGAGTTCGCCCTGAAGAACGATAAGCCCTTCTATTTCAGCAGGGTTAAGAGCTACGGCGTTGGGCAGTGAGTTGACTCGCCATAGATGAATACAATCAGATGCTTGTGCTCTCATCAGCATTGATCTTTTCTTGATACTTCATCAGTATGTTAAGAGCGTAGGCGGCTCTCATGTAAAACCATCGATTAGAAATGCGACTTCAGGGGCCTGAGCTTGACTGACACCAAAGCAACAGCCTCATCCACAACCCTACCAATCCGTGCTCTTTGCGACATCCTCCCAATCCTCACAAACCTTGACCATATCCTCACACTTCTTCTTGATCCTCCCCCACCCATCAGTACCCAACGGAACCCTCAGCGGCACCTTCCGCCCTGCGGCCATCCCCTCACCCCGGACAAGCTCCACCATCCGCTCAACAGCCTTCTCCGGATCCCCGGGCTCCGTCCCGTAAATCTTGGCTCCCTGCTTCACACAGGCCGCGTTGAAACCCGCAAACTCTGGGATCCGCAGCGGGATGTGCGCGAGCTTGACAAACACCCTCGTGCGGAAGTATCCCGGCTCGACCATGAGGACCTTCAAGCCCGGCGCCAGGATCGCGAGCTCTTGCGCGAGTGTCTCGACGGCGGCTAGCTCGGGTTTATCCCCTGGTTAGCGCAATGTTCTCACAGAGAGTTCCAACAGTGTTGATGAGATACGATAAGGGAAAGGTCCGCACCTGATAACGCAAATTTGCTGGCGCAGTACGCCCCAGCAGAGACGTCAACGTGCCATGCGGCCTGCGAGCTGAGAAACACCAGCGTCCCCGTCCCTGTCTCCCTCAGGAACGGGAGAAAAGCACGCGCGATGTTCAGCGGCCCGTGGAAATTCGTGCGGAAGCACTCCTCCATCTGTTCCTGCCTGTTCCCTCTCTCAACCATCAGCCTCATCCACTCAATTGCAACTCCTCCCACGTCCCCAAGGCCACGTATAGGCAAGAACAAGAAAGAAACAAACTCACGTCAGCTCTTCAACCAGCCCCGAAAGGACGTATCCCGCATTGTTCACCACAACATCGACGCCGCCGGGGAACGTCGCCCAGGCCTGCGCAACCGTCTCCCGGATGACGCCCTCAGAAGCCGATACGTCCATGTCCATGACCTTCGCGCCCGTGTCCTTGAGATGCGCGAGCTTGACGTCGGCCTGGCGGCCCGTGGCGATGACGTTCTCTCCCTCGGCGCATAGTTTCCTGACGAGGATCTCGCCGAAGCCGCTCGAGCGGCCTGTGATGAACCAGGTCTTGGGTATTCTCGTTGATTCTGCGCCTGTAGCCATGGTATCACGAACACACACAGAGAGAGAGAGAGAGAGACAAGCCAGAGTTCTCGTCCTTCAGGGATAGGTACGAAAGAATGGGAAAGGCAGATCTTAAAGACCATCTGGTGTAAGGTCGTGCTGGCGACAGCAACGCCACCCCAGTCATGTTTGTCCGCACTTGCATGCCACCAACGATAAATCACACGCAAACAATGTCCACTTCCGTCTTACTTTCCGCCAAAACATGGCCGTCAGTAGACCCGGAAAGGTGAGAATCAGCATTGGTACCGACTCGAGTACTTCCATTTGCCTTTTATAGTTAACGGAGGCAAAAGGGTCCCATGGATCAGAGCCTTAACCTATTAAAGAATGTGTCGTTCTTAGTCTAAGGCGCAGAAAGGCGTGCAGGAATTGCCTGTTCCACACTTTGGATACGCAGTCATGTTTTTGTGTAACACATGGCTTACGAGGTTCTGCAGGCAACATGCATCAACCACATGTGTCAATCAAGAACCCGTATCACGGAAGATCTTTCATCTATAGTGGGCCGAGGATTTTCTGGCCGTTGTTTTCTCGGATTCTCATCGAATCGTACATTACGGCCCAATCATGGGCACAAGAAAAAGGTAGCCAGGCTTTTTAAATGCATCAGAAAATGAACAGTTCGCTCCCTTATTGTAAAACGCCCCAACACCTGGCAGGATGACAGTGTCCAGTGCTTCCCTTCCCAAGTTGTTAGTTCCTTTTCCTAAGCAATACACATGTAGAAATGTAAAAGAAAATGCTGGATACTGATGATTCCTTGCGAACAAAGTGGTCGCAGGGGCAGTAGCGAGTGTGATGGACGCGCATAAATGCAATGGTAAAATGATCAGTGGACGCCCCGGGTATCAATGTCGCACTTTATGCCAAGTCTGGGTAAAGCCACGCAATATGGCAAGTTTAGGAAATGCACCGGACCACAGCGTGCCACAAGCTGACGGAGCGAGCCTCCAGGCCCCATGTTGGCGGGGTGAGGCCAGGCCACATGGCCATCAGGCACCGTCTCAGCGCGGTGTCACTCTCTTGCCGTCCAAGAACTTGGGGCTTCTGGCGTCGTAGTACATATTCGGCGTTTGTTGCTGCCTCCGCTGTTCGTATGCCATCCGCTCTTCCTCGTCGAGAGAGAATGCCTTCTTCAACCAGCCGAATGCACTGCGCTTCTTCTTCAGTCGCTTCTCACCGCTAGCCGTGGCTTGAGAATCGTAAGTCATCGTCGTGACAGTACTCAACATACTTGCGCCACCCAAGCGGGAGGGTGCGTTCCTCTGGTGGGAGGGATAGTACCCAGATTGAGCATAAGGAGACCGAGGTTGCGCACCAGCCGTGAGGGGCCTTTGCTGCAGAGGAGAATGCGGGCTTGCCTGCACCGGGCGGTAAAATTGGTGCTCAGACCGAGGAGAAGGCAGTACTGGCGGTTGTTGCACCTGTGGAGACAGCTCATTGGTGTTATGATAGCGCGGTCGTTGATCGATATCTGAGCCATACGCTGAATCGGGAGCCTGGTATTGCCGGGGCGATTCTCTCTCGGCATGGGAGTGGTGTAGGTCTGTAGCGGGGGGAGGGATTTGAATGGACTCCGGAGGCGTTGTCTTGAGCGAGACTCGTTGTCGGAGCGAAGTCTTCTTTGTTGGTACGGGGGCCTCTCGTTGCGGCTCAGGTTTGGGTGACTCAGTCACCATAGGCGAGGGCAGAGGTTCTGGGGGCTGAGGCGTATATGTCCGGGGCTGCAGGATGTAGAGCGGAGCGTCGTCAATGGCGACTTCGACTTGTTCGGGTTCGAAAGACCCCGACGGACCATCAGGCGTCTCCAAGGTCAGCTTCGGTGTAACTTTGTGTGTGCTATTTACTGAGCTGTGAACCGAATGCGAGCTGGGAGCAGTATGGTTGCTGTGAGTAGTGTGGAAGCTGCCGGTCGTTCGAGAGCTACTGGTCGTGTGGTTGCTTCTGCTAGTGTGCGTACTTCTAGCAGTATGGATACTCCTATTTGTTTGCGATGTCTGAGCGGTGCGCGTGGATTGTCGGTCTGGCGAAGCTGCTGGGGACGGCCTTTGTACAGGGATCTCGAAATAACTTGGATTCGAGCTTGATCTTCCGGTGGACATGGAGCCACTGACGCTGTTGGCGCGGAGCGTTGATCGTCTTGCGCTCCTGAGAGAAGGGGGAGAAGCCGGCGGGGAGTTGAGTGAGGCCTCATCGGTTCGAGGTCCTTGAATCGGCAAAGTGAATGGTGGGATGCTCGCCTGCGTCCTCGTTAGCTCTTAATCTCGTCCCAATCATTCCGTCGTCACTCACCCAAGTTCTCCTGCTGACTTCACCAGCCTTCCTGCTCATCTCCGCCACCATTTTGCCAAGCCTGATAACCAGGGCGTTCAGTTCCTTCCCTTGAGCCTGCAACTCAACAAATGCGTTATACCAGCCCTCCGTGTTGCCCTTCATGGCGGCGTAAATGTCGACGACATCTGGTCGATCTTGGCGCCATGTGCCGGCATTTTGTTGGGCTAGGTAAATGGCAAACTCCTTCGTCGCAGCTAAGCCATGCTGTACATCCTTGTCGTATTGCTCGAGCTGGATGTTGGTGCGGGCGACAATATGCTCAATCTTTTCGTTCCCTTGGACAATTTCCAGCCGAAAATTGCGGTCCTCCAACAGCTTCTCAAACACTTCCAGGTTTTCCATCGGCAAGCGCAGGTAGTCTATCCTCTCCTTCAGGTCTTTGGATGCCTGTTCAAAATCCTCCATTACAACCTCAAGAAACTCGTCCACTTCATCAATGTGTCCCTGGAGAATGCTAACTACTTGAGCAGCACTGTTGGCCATGCCATTGAGCAGTAAGTAGACGCCAAATGATATCTGAGCCATGAGCTTGTGAAGCTCGTGCTGCTGCTGGCCAGGACGGAAACGCCAGAGCATGTCGGGGAGGTCATCTTCGCGCTCCTGGCTTATGAGCTCTTCGCGACGGATCTTTGCGTCAGCAGTCTTCAACTTTGGTTTGGCGGCGGGGTTGCCATCGGCGACTTCGAGGAAGGACTCGTTGAAAGCAGATTGCATAGAGGGGATGGGATGGCGCGGGACCTTGGGGCTGCCGAGTGTCGGAGACTCATTGATGTCGCGGCGTATGCTTCGCTCAGGAATCTGTGGGATCGTTGCGGTTGTGGGTGTCCTCTGATCATCCTCGTCGTCGCTCTCGTCAATTGGCGAAGGCGGGTCGTCAGTTGGAGGCAAAAGGACAATGGGCAGGTCCAGAGACAGGTCGAGTGACTTGCTGGCCCCGAAGGACATGCGCGGGAGACCGGTCGAGGTAGCCATGGTGTACAAGGTGTGTCTCGGTACCTACTGACAGACTGCAGAGACCATCTGGTGTGTGACGACCGCCGCAGCCGTTTGACAGGACGCACCGAGTACGAATGGGAGTCGTGCAAGGCGCGGCAGGGCGAATGGGCGAATTTGGAGCGATCGAACCCTGTGCGACGCTGGCGCTTATCGAACACCGGTTGGCTGTTGGAGTAGTTTGTGGTGGGCGAAAAGAGAGAAGGTCGTTGTGCAACTGGGTGGGAGCCGCGTTGAAGAAGTCCAGGTCGTCGTGTTCAACAGTCGCACATAGACATGACAGGCAGGAGAGTCCCTGGTTGAAGGAGGGGGGTCGCGAGAAGGGCGAATAAGAACAGGTCCGGGGTCGTCGTTGTGGTGAAAAAGGGCGGGTGAGTAAGGAGGGAGGGCAAGGTAAGGTAAGGCAAGGTCAGGCCCGACAGGGTAAGGTATAGATTATAGTGAGGTGGGATAATATTAGTATTACGAATAAAGGGTTAGGTTGGGAAGCGAAGAGAAGAGTCCAGTCGGGACAGGCCAAGCGATGACGACGGAGCCGAAGGTTTAGGCGGAGGAAGAGAGGATGGCGGGGAGGGAAGCAGAGAGCATTCCAGATAAGAGGCGAAGGGTTGACGGTGCTCAGTCAGGGCCGTGGAGGAGAGCGAGCGAGCGAACGAACGGGGGGGAGAGTGAAAAAAGAAAACAAAAAAAAGAGAGAAGAGTTGAGGCGAAGATTGTAAGGTAAGGCAAGGCGTCGGAAGGATGCGCTTTCGGGGAAGTATGATGGGTGAAAGTAGCCGCAACGCGCAGCCGAAAAAGAAGCTGCCTGTCTGTCTGTCCGTCCGTCTGTCTGGCTTGCTGGCCGGCCGAAGGAGGGATGGATTGATTGATTGATGGGACGGGATAAGATGGGTTGGGGACGTGGACATGGACGTGGACGGGGTGGATGGGATGGGAGGTGGATGGGATGCGCCCCCCATCACCCATCCCATCCCATGCCCTGGCCAGACGGTCCTCTCCTCCACTGAATTGAATGAAAGAATGGCCTGAATGCCGGGAGCTACTGTGCGGCGCAAGGAAGGACCCAGGCAGGGTACTGTCACTTCGCGGCCGGTACGTACATTTGATGCCACCTACCTGCCTTGCCTTCCTGTGCTAACCTCGCAGTCCTTGCAGTACCTACCTGCATGCCGCTGTCGCTAGCTACCTAGGTAGGCACGTCGGTAAATGGCAGGCACGGTACCTTAGGTAAGGTAGGCAGGTAGGTAGGTGGGTTTGCTGTCTGTCGCCTGTCGCCTGTCGCCTGCCTGGGCCTCAGATTGCACACGTCGCGCCAAAAAAAAAAAAAAAAAAAAAAAAAAAAAAAAAAAAAAAAAAAANCCCCCCAAAAAAAAAAAAAAAAAAAAAAAAAAAAAAAAAAAAAAAAGAAGCAACGTTCGAGTCAAAGATGGAGCCCAGCTGTCGGATTACAGTGACACCTGTGACCGCCGCTGGGACTGTGGGGACGAACACAGGTCGAAAATTGGCCAGTCGCATAGACGCGCCGAGACTCCTTGCTTTGTGCGTCTCTGCTTTTTTCTTCTTCTTTTTTTTCTCTCTTTCTCTTTTTGCTTCCCTTTCTTTGGCTTCAACTTCAATGGCTTTGGGCAGGGCAAGGCAAGGCAAGGTTAGCTAGGTACACCATCTACCATACCTACCTAAGGTAAGGCACGGTAAGGCACGGTAGATACGGGCAGATACGAGCGCCCGTGTACGGATACTTGACCAACAGCACTGACCGATGCTCTCCGTGTGGTCTGCCCAACTTCATATATCTTGATCAACTAATTCGTTTAATATCAGACCATTGGCTCGACTCTCATTGCCCCGTCCGTCGCCTCCTGTCTCCTGGCCGCGCATGGCTCCCCAAATGGAATGGCAAAAAAAAGCGCCCAACAACAGGAAGAAAGGAAGGACCCAGCATGCACCCGCCGGCCCCCCTTGAATCGTTCTCCAACCCCTGTCGCCATTCCTCTTTTCCACCTTAGCGTCTTTTGGGGCCCTGAACCCCTGAACAAAACGGGGAAAGACATGGCAAAAGGGAAAGGGCCCAGAACCACCCGACGCTCACCCTGTTGCAGGGGCCCCAACGCCGTGAACCACCTCTTTTTTTCTTCCCAGGAGCCCAGGGTCCCTCCCACGCCCCTCTCGCAACCCTCCACTTTCACCCAGGCAAGCACAACAAGCCAGGCCAGGCCAGCTCCAACTCCAGCAGCTCACGTCTCCGCCGCCGGAGAGCCGTCTTCGGCCCTGGACTCTTTAGCTTCAGGCACGCCGCGACGCTCGAACAACCGACAAGCTCTCTCATGTGCTGACTATGTAAGGTGGCCGGTATCCATTCGTACCTATCCAGACCTACGAATACAGACCAGAACAGACACGCTGACGGACGTTCGGACTGACTCTGACTTCCTATGACTCTGACTTTGAACTTTCCAGTCGCGTTACTTGCCGCCGCCGCCAGACGACCTGCACACTCCGCCCACTTCCCTTACTTGCAGTGGGATGGGAGCCTCTGTGCCCGTATGGGCAGACCTTGGATGCCCGTGGGATGCCCGTCGTGGCATCCTCTGCCTGCAACCACCAACCTAGCTAGGCCCGAGGATCGGTGCCGGACTCAGAGTATCATTCATCCTCCTGTCACAAGGTTCTGTGCATTTACGGCGCTGCGCTTGCTCGCTCACGCATGCTCCTCAGCAGACGGGACTGGAGATACTCGGTTGATGATGACCTTGACAAACAAAGTACCGTATGCGATTGATGCACGAATATCCACTCAACTTAGCCAGGATACACAAAAACTGGCCGCCATTGACGCAGTAATCGCGACATGCAGACTCTTGCATGCGCGCCAAGCCAGACGACCCAGGCTGTCGTCAGCCACCACCTACGGCAGAAGTCACCGGCGCGATAGTTGGCGTATGACGGGCACTTGACCTGCCCGCATCTGCACCTGCTGCATTTTCAATCCGCATCGCATCGTCGCCATAGGGAGATAAGGTGCCTTACCTTAGGCCCATCGTACTATTCGTTTTGTGCAGGAACCAGTCTCAATCGGGCTTGAACCCCTGCCGGTGACTGACAGCCTGGGACATCGTCTTCCTTCTTCTGTCTGCTCCTTCCTTGCGCCCAAAAGTGCAGATACTTTGGTCGCGCGCCATCGCTTATTCGTCTTCACGTTACCACACCCGTCTGCACGAGCGCGAAGAATGGTTCCCATGCCTTGTCGATGGCAGCCGACGAAGCCAAGAGGGGGTGCACCGAGGCGCAATAACTTACAAAAGACTCTTTAATGGAATCCCCGTTATACGTTCCATTGGGGCCGCCGACACGAGATGAGAATGGCACTGCGACATGCAACATGCAACCCCCCATCTTCAAAGGTGCCAACGGTATTCCTGCCAAACGTGCCCTTCCCGCCCGCACCGCGCCGACAGGGTCTAGGGGAGCACTGTTGTAGGTTGTTTGTTGTTTGCCTGCTTGCTGCTTCGCCGCCTGTTTCTGTTCTGGAGCCCGGGCCAACAGCCCGAACCTCCTGGCTTGCTGACACAGATGGCACTGAGGTGGACGTCGTCAGCGGCCGACATATGCAGCACCAGAGGCATCCATCGCTCACCGCAAGATACCTTGGGTGGTAGTGCCTTGCATCCATACATCCTGCCGTACTTTGTCTTTACTCAGATAGGTAGGCAGACAACAAAGCAGTCGACATGGCCTCTGAAGGCCTCGGTCTCACGGTGATCATCACCAATGCCCCTCCAAATCTTATTCGCCATCGGTGGCACGTCCGTCGCCGTCTATCGCCCGCCAACACCGGCACGAGTCACGGAGCGGCTTGTGCCACACACTGCCCGACTGTTCGACCATTCAGCACAGCGCACAACACAGCACCTGAGCACAGCACTTCCATCTTCCATCTGTGCCCTGCTGCCATTCGATTGGCAGCTGCTGACACACCCTGTCTCCGACCGCACGGCCCGTCGCCGTCGTCGAAGCTGCGAAGCTACTCCTGAGTCTCAAACCGCCGACTGTGTCGCTCAACAACGATGATGCTCACCGTCTCCTGGACTTGGCCGTTGCTGTACGAGGTCGCATCCACGCCTGGCCGGCCCCCTTCCCCTCTGGGCTTATTTCCATCTCCGGACATAGGCTCATTGACCCGATCGATCGGCTTGTCTCCCGTCCACGGAGCCCGCTGTCTGCCCCATGGCCGCCCCCCTGATGCCTTCTCGATGGATTGATCAAATTGGACATCTAGGCCCCCGTTGGCATTGGCAATGGCCTATTTGGGCCCTGGCTTGTTATTTCCCCAGCCGTTGACCGCTTTTCAAAATTTGGGTACGATATCCCTTGACGTGGCTGCAACAGGGGAGATGAGGAGGGACGAAGTAGCAGGAAAGATGAGATGAACGAGGGAGCCTCATCTGGTTCGTTTCCAACGCCTTTGACTTTGGCCTTGGGGTCGAGTCTGTGCGGGCAACGACGACACGAGTGCTAATTGCAATGACGAGATTCATTGAAGTCCGCCAGTGATAGCCAGCGAGCAACCAGCATGGTTCCATTTGAGGCAGGCCAAGCTATTCTTACATGGTTGTTCAGCCTTGACACCAAATCGCCCGTTGCATCCGGCTGGCGTTACTTAAGGGCGCCCAGGACCTGAAGGCTTATGGAAGCGACTGTCACAACCTCTCTTAAAATCAATAAATGACCAAAGAGGCCCGCTGACGATTTTGTCTGACCCGATGACCCGGACGAGTCAGATTAAGACGACCAATTGGGTGGCTCACACGGCTGCAATGAGCAATGGTCGATATTGGGCTGGCAAAATATTGATTTTTAGCCCACCTCTGGAGATCTAGGATACGACATCATCATTCACACGAGGCTTCTGGAGTTCTGGAAGGGGGGCTCTGCACAACGGGGACAGACAGAACATGGCAAGGCAAGATGACGAGCATGAGAAATCGCAACGGGCCACATTCTGCAGCAGGCCCCGTTGCAGGTGGACCATGGAACTAGCCGTGGAACTATCTGTTGTCTATCCACGTCTCTCCAAGGAGTCCTGGCACGATGGTGATTCCGCTTTACCGTCGCCAAGGACGTTATTGATTGCACGATGGCCACATCAAGTGGTCCCAGTGGCAGCAGCCGTCGTCTGCACTCAGTGGTCTCTGCCCTCGGCCTGCGGCTGCCCTTCGCGCGGCAACCCGCCCGCTGTTCGCAGTCCATGTCGGCTTGTGGTGGCTCTCTTCCCAGGGTCGGAGAGTGGCGGATGCAAATGCATCGCGCTTCTCCGTCCCCCCAACGCAAGCGCGGAAATGACGGACACCTACGATTCAGCAGTCTCTTCACGACAAGCGCGGCTGGCTCGCGTACGGATAGGTGCCAGGGCTGTCCTGGTTTTCGATCCCGTCATACAAGTGGTTCCCCTGTGGCACTCTCGCCCTGGGCTGGGCCGAGCAGCGCTTTTCTGATCGACGGACCGTTCATCTGGGGATCGATCTGCAATCTGCTTACCCAAGATGCGTCCCATTTTCTGCCTCCTGCACGAAGACTGCATCAGCCTCACCCCGCAACAGGCACGCTTTCCGAGCCCGTCGATGAGGGCTTCACATTTCAAGATCACGCTGGTCAACGGGAGAAGGACGGCGCGTCTAGTCCAAGCCGCAATCTGATGGTCCTCAGCCCCGACATATCGGACACGCCATCACTGTGGCTGCTGCTGGCTGACTGGCTGGCTGTTGTCCTTGCCAATCAAAGCAATTGGGCGTCACGGCGCCCACTCATCCTTCGCTGATATCAGACGTTCCTCATCGCGGTCCAGTTCAGTGATGCCACGTGCAGCCACGTCCCAGGTGCTGACCGGCGTCAGCGATGCGCAGCCGGCTCTAAACTTGGGCACTTGGAAGTCGAACTAGTTACCAAGGCTGAGCTATCTTCTGGTTGCAGCTGAGAGATGCTGCTAGGCCATCATTATGAAGAGATGTGGTCGGTTATGGCATCAGAAAGCCTACTCTCGACGGATGGAAGATTGAAAAGTAGCTCCATCCCTTTTCAGCAACCACGCACCCAACATCGGGCTCTAAATCTAAATGTGTGCTGAACCGTTCGCTCCCCACATCATCTCCGGCCACCAAGCTGCAGCAACGGTCAAGACCCTCTTTCGGGACCAGGACCCTGGCCCCGATTATCGAAAGAGGAAGCAGGCAGTAAAAAACGGCCACTTCCCGTCGGCATCAGCCACAACGCCGGGGCCGTGTCTTAATCGCGTCCCGACGTGCTTGCTGAAATAGAACACTACCATCGTCAGCTCGGCACTGCATTCCGGGTCACTCTGAAGGTGTGAGAGACGTCTTTGGAATGCTCCTCCTCACCATCGACATATCGTAGATGTCTTTTTCCCATTCGCATTCATTCCGCCGCTGTCGCTGTCCTTCTGCAGTCAGTCTTTTCTATTAGGACACGAATACACAAAATACACAGGCATTCATAAACGCCAAGTTGCACACGACATTGAACCCATCTACCGCGGTACTGTCGACAGCAAGCCCCGGGCTGCCAGGTCACCCCGGCAGCGACGTGATTGCGCTTTTCCTGGCGACGGAGGCACACCCTTGCGACCTGACGACCCGCGCCGAGAGCCAAGGCCCACCACGTTCAAAAACCTCTTGGGTCTCGATCCTCCCACTCCCAGGGCTCAACTCCAAAACCTGAACATCGTCAACAAGCGAAAATAACGGTTTTTGCACCTCGTCAAGCGGTGTAAAACCCCTCCCTCCAGGGCAGATGAAGATGTTCGCTGCCTTCCGCTTCGGGAACGATCTCTGGGATCCATCCTACCGCTTCGAGACCTCGTGGCTTCTGCCTCCCTACCTGCTGGCTGCTTGTCGCGCGCTGATTGTGAGTGTTTACTTTTCTCCTATCCTCGCATCCCCGAGACGACTGTTCATTTTATTGTCTCTATCCTCCCGAATTTGATACAACATTCCCTGGCTTCAACCCCGCTCTATGCCTCTCTCAATTGGAAGCTAACGATGGACCCCACAGAGTCTCTACATCTTCGTCACCCGCTTCTTCATCATCGGTTGGACATGCACCCACGCTGAGGATGGCGGCTGCACGATTGTCGGCCAGAGCTTCTCATACTTCACCGTCCTCACCTACTGGGGTCTAGCCTTCTACTTCCTCGTCTCCGCCATCCACACCTTCACCTACGCGCACTCGGGCTCCCCTCTCCTCGACCGCTTCCCGCGCCCTCTGCAGGCCCTCCACGCCTTCTACTACACGACCATCACCACCTACCCGTTCATCGTCACGATTGTGTACTGGGCGATTATCTACTCGGGTCCTTGGTACGAGGAGGAATTCAACGCATGGAGTAACGTCTCCCAGCACGCAATGAACTCGGGCTTCGCCCTGTTCGAGATCATCATCCCCCGCACGAGCGCCGCCCAGCTCGAGTGGGTGCACATGCTCTGGCTCATCATCGTCCTCGCCCTGTACCTGGCCCTCGCCTACGTCACCCACGCCACGCAGGGCTTCTACACGTACGACTTCCTCGACATCCAGAAGAACGGCAGCGGCAAGACGGCGGCGTACATCATCGGCATCGCCGTCGCCGGTATCGTCTTCTACCTCGTCGTCAAGGGCCTTATCTGGCTCAGAGAGTGGGTGACGGAGCGCAAGCTGGGCATGGACGGCAAGTTTGCCCAGCAGCGTTTCCGCAACTACGATACCGAGCTGGGCACCATCAACAGCAAGCACTAGATATGCACGGCTTGTGTATGTGTCCATGTGTGTCTGTACATTTTCCATTTGTCCGCGCCGAGTACACGGTTGGCGCTTCCGGTCACGTTCATAAAAAAGAAGACTTGCAAGGAGTCGGGCATTCGGGTGGGAGCGGCTGCATTGATCATTATACCCCGAGGGACGGTATCGGTGTCCCTGTCACCATCTATACCTAGGCACGAACAGGACAGACATAGAAGTAGTAGTAGTGTACAACAGCGTCAGCTGTCTAGTGTGGTAATACAGGTAATTTTAAGACGTAAAAAACTGGCTTTCTATGATCGGGCTCTCTTTTGTTTTAGCACTTCAACGAGATGCCTCTTCTCATCTCAGACTCGCGTATCTCGAACATGACTTGGACGCCGATGAAGAGCGCGGTACATGCCCCTACGAAAAACATGACGCCTACGCAATGTGTTAGTATGACACTCTCGAAAGGTAGAGCGCGAGTTCTTTTGAGGCAACGTACCAGACCAGTCATGCAAGATACCGTGCAAAATGCTTTGCAGGCCATCTAAACCAACAGCGAAACCAACAAGGTTGGCAGTCATCATCATGAGCACATTGGCAACGGCGCCAATGCCACACAGCCAACGGTACTGGTTCGGTCTGTTCTCCCACTTCCTCGCGGGGAACAGCATTCCCGCGAGCACCTCTGGTAGGAGGAACAGGACGATGAGCCAGCCCCAGATCAGCAGGCGCAAGCGGATGTCATGCCACAATGCTACAAACGTGAAGACGAGGAGGTACGTGGCTATTGATCGGACGGTCGTGGCCCAGGAGCGGAAGTTTGCACCGCCCAGGGGTATGTATATGTAGCGGATCAGCCAACGGTTGTAAGAGCGATGCCAGGCCTTCCAGAAGGATTTTGGAGACCAGTTATTGGAGACGCAGCGGAGCATGTTCTCCGGCGCGTCGACGCCGTCGAGGAGAGCCCATAGACGGAACAGGCGCCATGGGAGGAGGAGTTTGAGCCAGATGATGTGGAGGTTAAAGTAGGAGAGCAGGGAAAGCTGAGAGGGCGTGTAGGATGACCAATTGGGCCCCGCGTGCGAGATGGCGCATACGTAGTCGTAATGGAGCACGATTTCCATTGCCAGCAGGCAGAGAGCAAAGCGGACTGCGTAGCGAATGGTGCGGCCCGTCTCGACAGAGGCAGGTGGGTGTCGGAGCTGGTGGATGAAGTCGTTGAAGGTCATGATGGGCCCAACAAGATACAGCGGCGCATAGATCGCGTAGGCGAGGTAATTACGGAAGCAGTAATCCTTGGGAGCGGCGGAAATGGCCAGGCGGTCACGTTCGGAGAGATTGGCGGGGTCAAGTTGCTTCTTCTTAAGGATCTCAGTGCTGAACAAGGTGTTTGGGAAGGTGGATTCAGTCTTACCTCGAGAGCGCTTCCGCCACGGTGGTCCAAGCTAAAGTAGTAATCCAGGTTGAAACTGATGAGCCGTAGAACAGTGATGTTGAAGAGAATCTCCCAGCGGCCCATCAACCCTCCGTAGGAATCGAGCCAGACACCCCATCGCACCAGGAAGGGGTCTTCCTCTAGTAGGTCCTTGTGCGCAGAGGGTGGTGTGATGTGCCGCGCAATGTTGGCGAACTTGTATCCCTGGCTCAGCTCGTTGGCGAAGAGCATGCAGACGTTGAAGATCCATGTCGCAGCGGGGATGTATCTTCGCGGGAGCCGCGTGGCAAGCTGGTAGTTGATGTAAAGAATTGCTAGGACCTTGAACGCGGAGAAGCCGTGCAGTGCGATGAGGAACACGATGGCAAACCGGTAGTCAAAAGAAGCGCGCTGCTCGAGGCGGGCGTCGCCTTGTTCTGTAACCGACTTCTTGTATAGGTCTGACGGGATCGGGAAGACGATGTTCCAAAGCTTCCGGAGGAGTGGGTGGAAGGTCAGGAGCAGGGCCATGTAAGGAAGGTTCTGGCGGAAGGTATGATATTGCGAGTCGGAAACATCCTAGAAGGCATCGTGTTACAGGAGGCTTCACTTCGTAGAGGGGTGTCGAGGGCGACCTACGATTTTACGCCCCGGGATCCAGCCGTCAGATAGGAAGCGCTCGTAGTTGTGGTATCGGGGGTCAGAAGCTGCAGTGACATATCGTTAGCATAGCTACGAGGTCAGGACTCTCCATGAGCCACTCACGCCTCGACACTCCCCAGGCCACCCAGAACATATACGGTATCACCCCTGCGATATAGGCGAGGTAGACGATAAACTCGGGTTGCCTCCATTTTGACGGCTGCGCGCGGCTGTGGGCTTTGGTGGCTGACTCTTTGCTCTGCGCCGGATCGTTGCGTGACTCGATCACGGTCTTGTATGGAACGGAGGAGGAGTTCGTGAAGCGCGTATCGAGGTTGTCGAGATCGTAGATGCTCTTCAGGAACGTGAGCGGGCCACCCATGGCGGGCGGGCTTTCTGCTGCTGCTGCTGGCAGCGCTCTGCTTGGAGCTTCGACGCGTGTGGGGAACGAGGGGGGGAAGGACAGCAGGTGACGGTTCTAGATCATTGTCAATCGAATACGGAGAGTCCCCAGGACTGGTGTTGTTGGAAGAAGTGAGTTGGATTCTCCCGGTCAGATGGCGGTCGAAATGGGGCGTCGTGGGATGTCTCGTGTCCGTGGATCGCATTTCCGTCCCATGTGTCCAATTGACGGGACGGTTATTTTTGAAGCAAGCTGCTGGAGACATTGGAAGGGCTGCTAAGCTAAGCTCAGACAAGCTACGTGGGACCCCCGTAATGCGCAACCTGCCAGTTGCACCGCCCGCAAATTCGGGGCATTTCTGGCCTTCTAGAGCGTCCCAATTGGCGGGGGTGATCGACAATACCCCTTTTTCTGCACTGGGGGCCGGTTCAGGGTTCGCCTCAGGTCGCATACGCTGAGGTGTGCCTCGGTCCCCGGTTGCTGCACTGCACTTGCACAGATCTTGGGGAGGCTTGGTTGGCCAATGGCGTGAAACTATTGCCAATCATGAGACGCCAACTCTGCGACGCGCAACGTCAACTTCCTTAACTTCCGAATCAACTCTTCGCGTTGAAATGGAAAGTAACATAAGAAAGCCACAAGGCTTTTTTGTCAAGGAGCCTTTGCAACAAAGAATATTGCCAGGTCTGTCATAGCTCACGACTGGAAGAAACAAGCGGCCAAACATGCGGCCACCTCTTCAAGCCCGACCACGGCTCTGAGGTTATAGGCAAATTCACTTCACGATGCCTTCACATACGACCATACCCATTGGAAAACTCGGGATCCCGTCCGCTCTCCCATAGATAAGCCAATGAGGGCTGGAGTAGTAGTCAGGTCGGTGACGACTGGCGAATGCCCGGTGTTGTATGTTTTTGCTCGCAAATCTTCCTTTTTAGACTCTGAACCGCCCTCCTACTTGATTTGAAGCCATCGTAAGCCTCGAGTTTTGTTTTAGCCTTTCTCAATGACAGGAATAGAACTAGTTCTCGATTTAACTTTCGGGCAATTGCTCAATGATGGGGCAGCATCTGGACTCCAGAAGATGCAGAGAGATGACCACCCGGGGCGCGTTTGAGATAGTAAGGGTCTCGTGATGTTTTCTGACTGACTACCATATCCTTGCTACTAAGTTAAAAGTTCTTGTACTCGCGAATCTCACTCCCCAGAAACCGTCGGGAACAAAAAGGATAGTTCGCTCTGCTCGAACCACGCCTTCTTCTTACCCCAAGCATTGGCAATAAACTCACTGCCGATCCGAGCAATATCTCGGGTTTGTTCAGAAGTCTCCATTTCTCGCGAAATGGTGCCAAAACTGATGAGATGGACCCCCAGCTGGAGGGCGATTCGGAGAGCTGAGCTGTCCGACAGGTCATCTAGTCCCCTGCAGTAGCCCTCAGCAATCCACAGGCTTGCTGCTGGCCCCTGACACAGCCAGATTGCGTATAGCTCTCCCAGCATCTCCCCGTGATCCATGCTTGGAACTCCAAGTTGGGCGTTCTCCCAGTCTACCACATATATAGACGTATCAAGGTTGGCCGCGAGTGGTGTGTCACAAATCAGGACACTGTTCTAGTGTTATTCTCAAAGTTTGAAGTAGTAGGAATCGGCTTTAACCCACTTCTGTGGACAGAAGTCCCCATGTATAACCGTCAAGGTCTTATTGGCCCCGCGTATCTCCTCTAAGGCCTGCCCCTTGACTTCTTCAAATATGCCTCGCATGTGGCCTAGGATCTAGGGGAACTGGGCGGCTCTTTCGAGCAGCCAATCGTAGTTGATCATGTGCTTCAACTTCTGCATCTGGTTGTCTTTGTAAAGGGCCTCCTTCAGTGATGAGCCTGTCCCATCCGGCCCGTCGCTTTCCAAGATGCTGTTCGTGAGCTCATGAAATTTGGAAATGTATTTAGCCATGGCGCTACCAATGTTCTGGTATAGCGGACGTAGATCCATGGGCGCGTCTGATGGAGGGAACTTGAGAAGGTGCTTCTTCAAGTGTACCACATTCGGCAGATACTCTTGAATCTGCGTATTCGTTTCCTCATCGTAGAGGTAGCATATTGGGCTTTTGACGGTTATACTGGAGCTCTCCTGTCTACGCAGGCGGAGAGACATCGCCTCGAGCTTTTTCAAACAAGCTGCCTCCACATTCTATCAAGTATTAGCTGAGTTACTGGATAGCAAAAATCGCCTTACACAACGCTCGATCGTGATGGAGTTGATGGGATGCCGGGCCATGTATGCTTCTCCATGTTTAACCATGACTTCCATCGCCCTGTTTCCATCTTTACCGTCAAATGCCTGCCTCAGCCTTGCGAGGTAGGTAAAGTTGGTTTGACCTCCTGTAAGCGACGTAAGTGAGATTGCAGAATATGAGGTAGCTTGCATCCACTCCTGCACTCTGAGCTGGACTTCGTCTGATGTCTGCGAAACAGCCATGGCCCTTAGACAGTGAATCAAGGAGTGAAGATGATATTCATTTCCACGGTTTGACGGGCTCTCACCTCCGTTCATTGAATGGCCCAACCGCCAAGGCACATTCTGGATGCCTAAATGCGGCTTATCGCAGCGAGTGCCCATCCATCGTCATGCATGACTGACGTCAGCCCTCCCAAAAACAACAGCCTGGTTTTATTGCAACACACTTATATGGGATATTGGCTCTCTTGCAGGACCCTATCAGAAGGATCTGTATTATTTGATGACCACAACAACTGCAATATTACATGCTCATATGATAAAATCAAATGGAAAATTGTGATTAATGTCTCGTTCTTGTGACTTTCCTTTCTAAGAACTGTGTCTAGGTGTCCTCTGAGATGGAATAGCGTATGAAATGGATCTTTCTTGTGCTCTCTCAAGGCATATATTAAGGTTTTGTATTGGGTCTGGTAGAGGAATGCCTAGCTTCACTTCCGCCCCTTCCTCTTCAAATCGAGTAAAGGACTGTGTCAGTTCGTGTTCATATCAACAGTAGCTAAATGGTCAAGAAGGATGGAGTGGGACGGAAATGCCAGTCGTTATTATTTCCCATTTCTGGTGTTTTGACGCATGTGAATGGCGAGGTGTTTGTTCTTGATCGTAGATGTGTTTTGTCTTACTCCTTTCTGTGTTTGCCTCAGTGAAAGGCTGAGATGCTTGTGCGACGTCTTGATGCTCGAAGGCAGATACCATCCAAGCAGACAGGCGCGGGCACCTGCTTTGGATTCGCTTGTGCCCGCAAAACTTTTGAACTGAGATTGGTCACTGAACTACCAACATCACCAACTGCGACATCTCATACCTCGCCCACTCAATTCTTTCCCCCGTGTCTACCAACTTATTCTCCTCATAGAAGGCTGTGGTGCTTGCAATTCAATCACCTCGATCCTATTGCCACTATGAATGACTTTCACCCTGAGTGGATTTGGGGCGATGACGCCGAAACGACCGTCTTCGCCCAAGGGTACGGCAACGATCGCACCATCATCTTCAGTTTCTCTCTTGACGCATCCAAGCCTCCGACCTCTCTCGCGAATCACATCTGTGCTTGTATGCATGGAATTGAAGTCGATGACGTTTCGAAATCATTCGAGCACAGCGCGGCCATGCGCGAGGCCTTGTGAAACGCGGTTCGCGATGTATGGTCAGCCTGCTCGACAGACAAACGGGCTTCGCAACCAGACGTTGTCTTCGCCGTCGATCATCATGATGATGCAAGCTCTTCCAACGATGTGCGCTGGAATGCTTATTCTCACCCACTCTTTCAACGCTACATGAGCTATCTTCGTGACAACGAAAGAATGTATTTCCAGTCTTTCTCCCTATTCCCGTTTTCGTCCCTCTCGCATCCCTCACTTTCTGGCACTTCGTCGACCGTAACTTACACCGTGAAAGTTGGCAAGACCCCTCTGCTCCCGAACGACGAGCAAGTTGAGTTTGCCTCAATAGTCCGCTACGATCAGCTGGGTGGGCGAGGCTGTGCGACTCGAATTCGTCGCATGGACAAAAGCTCCGAGGACTTTATGGTGTTCAAAGGCATCGGCTTTCGTACTTTCTTAACGTACACTGATGATGAAGGCGACAAAACCATTCGCCACATGATACATGGCTGGCACAGGTCCAATAATCTATTTCGCAATATGTCCAAGCATCCCAATGTGCTTCCAGCTCCATCGAAGCTAGTGACGTATGGCAATCAGGACGGGGTGGTCTGCGGCACACTGCAGCCATTCTACGAGTGGGGCGATGTGGGATCTCGCATAGAGAAGAGCAACATCCTGGGAGCCCGTATTCCCCTTACTACTAAGGTCCGGTGGTGCATCGACATGGCCGCGGCGGTCGCCCACACTCATCGATAGGCCAAGACGTATCACATGGACATCAAGCCTGGCAACTTCTTGATCAACCAAGACGGCAACCTGGTCCTAGGAGACTGAGAGCAGACCGATGCGCCAACAACGACCATTGCACCAGAAGCCGATGGAACTTGGAACGTTGAGATGGAAGAAGGGGGCGGCGGCCTTGTTGGCAATGGGTGGAATCGCCAACGTCTTCGATACGCCAAGTATGAGGGCCCACCGCGCCGCAATACTGAGAAAGACGTACTCGGTGACTATCCATGGAACACCTGGAACGTGTTTCCTGGCTGGAGTGCAGAACATCCACTGGGTCTTGGGCGCTGGGCCGAGCGATGTGGATGCTTTTGCGTCAGCCGGACATGGATTTCGATGAGATTGAGCATCCGAGCCAGCTCAAAATCAGTTGGGAAGGCGCCGAGGACATGCCCACGGCGTGGGTGGGCATGACAGATCGGTGCATGGCGGAAGATCCAAAAGAAAGGCCGGACGCAATGGAGGTCCTAGGTTTCTGGCAGGCTGAGAGGGCAATCTTTTAACTTAGCATTGTACAGTGTATGAAGTCTAGGTGATATGAACAAGAGGGGCTCAACTCAATTGGACAGCAAAGGGTAACTAGGCGAAAGTTTTATTCAGTTGCTAGGCGAGACCGGTGAGGTAGTTGTAGTTGATTGGACACTTTGCGATCCCTTTTAGTGTCGATATCGTGTTAACAACCCCCAAGGCACCGACTCGATCATCATCGTGGACATCTACGTTTTGGCCATCATTGAAATTTACCTTGATGTTCAAGTCAGGGACCTCAGCTCAACCAAGAAAGGTGTCTCCGCGGTCTTGAGAGGTTGCCTATCAATGTCAGTACGAGCTACATAAATACCGGTCGTCTAAATTTTCTCTTCATTCTCATTGTTTTCAATGGTCGTTTCTACAATTATCCGTTCGAACATCAGATCTCATCATCATCGCGTCTGCCTCTCAACCAAAACCAGCCACAATGTGTGTAATCAATACTTGGTTTTGTCGTCGTTGCCAATATCCCTGCGATCGACTCATCGATGTCTGTTCTGGGGCTCTTCAAATAAACCCCAACCAACCGCGTCAGCACATACACATAGGACGCGATCTTCCACCTTTTAACCCACCCAAAGGCTGCAAAGGATTCAAAGGAGTTAGGGTATGGTCTGATCAGGACTGTTCTGGCTGCGCTTCACAAGACTCGGCTCCCTTTCACCTCCCTCCAAGCACTTGGTCACGACCCGACTATGTGGTTCATAGCCGACCCCAATTCAATCGACAACCTCAACCTCGACCAACCCCGCACAATACGCGGCACGGAACGTCTGAAACCCCCGGGTGGCTCGAATGGCTAGTGTGTCGGACCACGAGATTCGGAAGTGGTTGTTGGAGAGCATTCATGGTCATCTGGGGTTTGGTGGCTCGATCTCGCCTGATGAATTTGATCTTGATGCGAGGTTTTAGGGGAGTTGTGGCCAGATCCTAGAAAGAGTAAGGAAAACGATACCTTAAGTCGAAACGGAGCTGACGTTTGTATGAACACAGATAGAAAAGGATATGAGAAACGGAGACGCCGATTTTGAATAGTGGGCATACGCATATGACGTATGAATGGAATGGAAATCTAGAAGAAAAGCCCATATCTATAGAGGTTTGACCAGTTCGTCTTCCGGAAAGACCACAGATCTATTGTTCGGAGCCTTGGCTAACTCATATCACATAGCTACTACAAGACCTTGCTTTTGGAAAGCCTGGCGACGACAACACATCTTTGACTCAACGAATCACCCATCTCGAATGACATCAGTGTTACCATCGTTGAACATAGGTACATCGGCCTCGGCTTTATTGGTACTGGGACGACTATACCGCTTCCAGTCTACCCTACAAAGACCAAAACAATGCGCGAGATCTGGCAGCGCTTTTGTAACATCTGATCCATGATGAGTCAAGTTACTATCCACCACTGCGATGAGACGATGGTCCGGGGGCAGAAACGGAGACAGAACCTTGATTTTCCCATGTAGCACGTGCTGCAACATCATTGAGAGGATGCGGGAACGATAAACGCCTTGGGACGCTCTTGGCGCAACGGCGGATTACCTGGTGGAGCTTCACATGAAACAGAATTGTTTAGGGAAAGCATCTAATTTTGAAGTGAGAAATAGACATTGCTCGTTGAACTTTTATAGGATTTAAACTTGCTGCAATATGAACTGAAAGTTTTCGACCCGACAGAACACATAGACATGTAGAAACTTGCGTCTCCGAGGAGCATCTGATTGGTATGTACGCAAAGCTCAAGGCCCCAAACGATATATTCACTGAAGTATGTACAGCTACGAAGAAATGTATGTGACAAGAAAATATAGGAGTAGTTTGACGGTGAAAACAACCGCGAAACGTAGGTGATCGTTTAGTTCCTGAGTATCTGTGGACTTTGCCTGGTTTACGCAAGCAACTCAACCACGTCAAACGAGACGCCAGGGCTGAGAAACTTTGTGCCAGAGCTGCCGGAAATACTTTTATGAAGAGTTAGTATGATCCACACAAAAACTTAGCCGGGGTACGGGTGGACATACACGTTGATAGTGAGAACCTGCCACTCGCTTGTGCTCTGGATCCAAGCGGTTTGAGGCACAGCGTAAGTCAATTTCACATTGTTGCCGCGCCATGTTCCGACACTTGCATTTTTGTTAGTTTCAAACTTTCTGAATGAAGCATGTGTAACCTTGAGAACTTACGTGAGAGATCGGGTGCTGGCCTGGTTGGTGGCGGCAGGGAGGGCAGAGGCCCAAGAGTTGACATTGATGGAGGGCCGACCGCCAATGTAGCCTTCCGTGATACCAATACGGACAGTGTGACCAGCTGCAAGTTGCGCGGTAGTGAGCTTGAAGTAGATGATGTAGCCGCTGTTAACCTCCTTCCACATGTAACCCGGGAAGCGGTTGGCCGAGTGTGTGCCGACTTTGCGAAATTAGATTCCATACCCAGGAATGATTGCTGGACCCAGAAGACTCACCAATGAAGTTTCCAGCGTTCCAAGTTGAAATGCGAGTGTCGGAGGGATGCATGTATGTAAGCTTTACCGGGGTATCCTCAAAGTTGAGGAAGCCCTTGGGGGTTCCTGTTGTAGATAGTCAGACCGGAACCCACACTTTCTAGCGCCAAAACTTACCGTCCCACTCGCCGATACGCCAGATAGTAGCATCATCTTCAGGGTCAACACAAGTGATTGTGTTCACAGCGGTGCCCTTGCCTGCAGTGATGGTCACAGACGAAGTGGCGACCTCAAGCTCGTCCTTGTAAACGGTCAAGGTGTAGGTGCCCGGAATGACCTTTGTGATAGACCAGGCGCCACCAGAACCGGCTGTGCCCCAGTATTGAGCGTTGGAGTTGCTAAGGCCAACGACGTACGTCTTGCCGCTCTTCATGTTGGCCAGGCCAACACCACTGGCATAACCACGGCCGGAAGCCGGGACCCAACCATCCAGCTAAGCAAACATCAGCTATTGATCATGAATCAGGCCTGATTTTGTACTCACACCAAGGTCATCGAACCAGGACCAGTCGGCCTTGCGAGCGAAGAGATTGCTATTGGGGGCCTCGCCGTTGGTGAAAGAGATAACGGAGGGTCCCTGGAGACCAGTGCGCATGGGGTCGGTGTGACCCATGTTATAGTAATAGATGTCGTACAAGTCCTCTCCAGTGGGATCGGCGCGGCGAACGAGGGATCGGAAGAAGGGACCGCCGGAGGCCTTCTCGTGGTTGCTCTAAGTTTGAGATGTTAGCGGTGACACATGAAGGCAAATCTGTACCGCAACACTTACTCTGATCATGAACAAACCGACATCGCTCTTCGTGCGTCCGACGTAATCGTCTTCAAACAGTCAGTATGTCTCAAGAGAGTCTCGAAAGAAATCTTACAGTCGATGGTTCGGCCATAGCTGGAGCCTTGGTAGTGCTTGCTCTTGGTCAGACCCGCGCTGTTCACATTGACTTTGAAAAGTTAGCACAACTTGACCATCTCCATGTTTAGATACTACTAACTGTCTTGGGCTTCGATGATGGTGCTATCGGCATCGTAGAAGTCGCTCTCGGTCGAGGCATGGCTGAAGATTCCGCCCTGTCATTTCCGTTAACTTCAAACCCCCGACGGGCATTCTCGACCTATCACAGACCTTGATTCTGACGATGTAACGCATTGCAGACACGGAGTCGTCCGCCTTGTTAGTGAAGAGGTAGACATTATT